CGGAGGGTTGTCAGGGATCGAAGAGGAAGCAAGGTTAGAAACGAGAGGGTTTGGATGGTTCTGAAGTTTGCTATGGAAGGATAGGTATCTGGATTGGGCCAGGTCAGAAACATAAGGAACATTAAGGTCGTTATGGATGATTTTGTTTGTGACAAAGTAAGGAGCAGTGAGGATCTTACGAAGGATTTTGGATTGTAAGGATTGGATACGAGAGGAATTCGATGGCTTAGTGGAGCCCCAGAGCTCAACTCCGTAAGTCCAAATAGGTCTTATTGTAGTCATGTATATGAGTCTTCTGTAATTGACTAGGAGCTTAGACCGTTTGTCTAGTAAGTGCTGAAGTAGTCGGAAACGTAGAGCTGTTTCTTGTCGTTTCAGTCTGGTTTGAGGATTCCACGTTAGACCTTTGTCTAAGTGGAGTCCAAGGTATCGAATTTGTTCAACAGGGATAAGTGGGGTATTATTAAAGGATACTGTAGGACAAGAAGACATACGACGAAGGGTAATGGTGATTTGATGGGATTTATTGGAATTTATTTTTATCCCCCAGTTTTGACACCATTCTTCAAAGTTTGTGATGTGGGATTGAAGGGATTGGGATGTAATTGTAATTCAGATTTAGTAATTCAATTTAATTCAATGTGTGATTTACCTTAAATGATGTTAGTTTTCTGAAATTATTAATTATATATTTTTAGGCACTGTCCATTACCTTCTACAACTTTATTTATTTGATATAATTTTTTACTAAAATTCTCTGCTTTCCAACGATATATTATAGGTATACCTTTTGACTGTTATTTCACGAGATTCATTTTCATTCTGGATAAGCATTTTTCTTTTTTTCTTCAGTTTCCAAAATCATATTCTTTCAAACTTCATATTTAGACATTTTTTATAGTTACTGTCAATAAAATATTTTTTCTTTTAATAAACCATATTAAAGGTACTTTATAGGAAGACGAATATGAACATTGGGCATTTATGTCCTGTAAAGTGACATCGATGGGTATATTAAAGACCACTTATTTATACAATAATACACCGATTTTAATCAAAATCATTAGAGCTATTTTTGAAAAAATTGTAAAAATCTCTTTTATCGTTGACCGTTCAAGTGGTACTTTCAGTTAGCCGATTTTAAGGGAAAATTTGCTGTAACATCTCAATCATATACTTATCTTAAATACGTAATATCAGTTTCGTATGAATTTTCGCCGGGCCTCAAAACGTGTATTACTGTTGAAAACTTAGATTCGAAAATTTTCACGATCGCAATACTTTCCCATACTATATACTACATATATAGGTAAGTGAAAGTAAAACAGTTGAACTCAAAACCTGAGTTATATTACTAGTACAAAACACGCTGTCAAAATTTCCGAAGTTTTTCATTAATAATAAACAAATTGACTATATAGAAAAAACAAAATTGATATAGCATAAATTTGCAAGATCCACCGTCAGAAGTAAAGTTGTGATTCACATTGGTGCTGAAAATTTCTCCTAAAGTGTCTATTACCGGCACATTTTTCTTAAGTCCCAGTATGCTATGGCACTTTCGAGTAGTGTTGCCCAAATGCGAGACCGAGACTAGCTTGTTCTTGCAAACTTAGTCTTGGTCATGGTCTTGGTTTGCGCAAGAGTCTCGCAACAGTCTTGCAGTTACTTATTAGCTTATTACTATAGAGATATTACTGTAATTTTTTAAATAGGAGAAACCTAACTAAGTCCGATTGAAAAATTAGAGTAGTTAAATGCAAAAGTATATTGGTTATACCAATTATTAATATATAGTAACTAAGATTGTCAAGTATTAGTAAATATGTTGCCTTAATTTTTATTTTATTTTCTTAGTAGTCCTGGTTTTGGTATTGCAAAGTGCCAGACCAAGACCGATTTTGGGCAACACTACTTTGGAGCTATGCACTTCAGAACTCGAAAATGTCCCATTTTTTTAGTAATTTGTAATTCCAGCCATACGCTTTTTATTTATCTGATTATCTTTTCTTTTTTTCTGGAAAGTTGTCAATTTATTTTAGTTGTTTGGCAATAATAACTTCCAGTTTTTAACAATTGAGTATATTTTACTATCAACGTTACATGTTAACAAGTTAGTTGACGTTTCGGGACATTTATTCCCATCTTCAGAACTGCAATTCCAATACTCTTGTGGATGCTAGGCTAACTCATTATTATTATTAAATTTAAGGTAATTACAAATTTATTGTAACAAACATAATTCAAATATGTAATGTAACAAGCACAATATTATAACTTAAAAAAAAAATTAGCCTTGCATTCTCAAGAGTATTGGAATTGCAGTTCTGAAGATGGGGATAAATGTCCCGAAATGTCAATTAACTTGTTAACATGTAACGTTGATTGTAAAATATACTCAATTGTTAACAACTGGAAGTTATTATTGCCAAACAACTAAAATTATCTGATTATGATTTAAAAATCAAAATATTGGTTTTATCTTAGTGTTCCATGCACTGAAAACCTTTTAAAAAAGCGAATGGGTGAAAATAGTTCTATTATTGCTTTGGCACTTCGGATAAAATAAAAGCAAATTTTTTGAATATTTAATAAATTGAAAAGAAAATATTCAAGTGTGGACTGTTACTCTCTATAAACTTTGTGAGTGAACTAGAGATCAATGCTCTTATGGGCCAAACGAATTAATATTAAACAAGTTTAATATTAATTAATTTCAGTTCAGGGATATCTGAGTCTTAAAGGTCTACCTTTAAACTAGAGTGATATTTTCCAGTAGGACACTTACTAATTATTTATTAGGTAGATATCTACTTTTACGGTGATGAAGAGCTTCACCAAATGTGTGTGTTGAATAGACTATCTTGATTATATTATGTTGTATTTACGAATTAACACGTTTCCCTTATGCCGTCTTTACCTCAAATGATAGTGATCTAATGTGAGAGTTCCCAACAGGATATAGTAATTTTATTTATTTTCATCGGAAAGCGTAAAATTGGGAAACGGTTGTGTTCAGTTATTATTGTTCAAGCAATAATATTGCAGATATGCAATTGCAAATCCTAATGAAGCGTCCTTTTTGTGCCACTAAACTGCAACTGGGATTTATGTTAGCTGTCACAGGAACCCTTTACGCAAGGTGTGCCTTTGTAATTACACCACTCCAAATAGACCAAAGCTCGTAAATGGAATTCAATTCAATAATATATAAAATGGTCACTATACTCAGCTATAACAGCTCCCTCTCTGACTCAGCTATAAATTTCCGATACAAATTGGTATAAAATAAAATAAAACACCCAATTTAACTGCTATAGTTTAAAATATCTTACTTAATAGATGCAGATGCATTTATGGCAAACTATATTTACTAGTGTATGTTTAAATATGGAATTTTATGTTTTCAACACTTTTTACTTTCACTTACATTTATATGTAATATATAGAAAGGTTGAGTATTGCGATCTTGAAAATTTTTGTATCTGTGTTTGACGGAAATACCCGTTTTAAGGTATTCTGTGTCCAAATGCACCCACCTGTTTAGAATTCACCAATTGACAGAATGCTGCAACGGCACTACAAGCATTGGAGTTTCCCAAGGTGACCTCCACACTGGTGCATGAGTGAAATAGGCGTTGGAAATACTGTCCTGCTCCATGAGGGTGGAACTAGTATGGGTCTCTGGTCTTAAGGGAACTAAAAGGCAATGAAAAATACGATGTTCTTACAAGAAAATGAGCGGGATTTCAGGTCTGGAACCTGTCATCGGAATATCGAAAAAGCATCAGCGGAAAGGAGTCTTTGATTAAATCTGGAAAAAAACAGGTAAAGAATGGAGGGAATGCAAGCGGCTTAGACAAACAAAACACTTTACTAAAAGCCCCTCTTCCTTTAAAACAAAGTGGCTGCTGGGCCTAACTAGAAAAGAAATTCGACTCATCATCGGAGTACTAACAGGCCACTGCAGACTTTTAAGACATTTAAAGATCTGTGGGATAGTGGATGATGAACTCTGTAATCTCTTCAGAGGTGCACCTAAAACTGCCCTACACTTTATAACGGAATGTGACCGATTTGCGTCATTCAGATACAAACTTTTGGGCGCAGGCGGAATCCAAGTATGCAAAGGTACCTCCATAAAATGGCCCAACCTTTTGAACTTGATTAGAAGAACAAAAAGGTTTAAGACAGAGTAGAGGTACAATAGACAACCACTGGTAATATCATCTTTGGGGTTGGCAAAACGGACCATTGGCAAACTTGTTGGACTAAATCCCCCTCCTCCCCCCCCCAGTAGCAGTACCACAATAGTGCAACCCAGTAATACACAAAATGTTTATATATATAGTGTCCCATATAAGGTATCTATTTCATATGGAATATTTCAAAATATTAGATAAACTGTGTGTTTTATTTTATACCGGTATGTTTATATCGGAAATATTTTTATGAAATATATATGTATTTTTTAGGCGATTTGAGTAGGTATTCATGCATTACATGTTCATTTAACTAGCGTGATCAAAAGCTGAGTTACTATCGTGCTCTGAGGCGAAACATGGAACCTGTATAATTTACAATTTATAGGTATTACAGTTGTTTTATTTTTTTTCATTTTATCACACGAACATGCCTTTTTAAAAATAAATTGTGCATTTCCTCGTTTAAAATTAAAGCTGAAAATACAGATATGTTGGAATTGAATAAATGGCAACCAATTAATTCTAAATTTTCCGTTTCCACTGTAAACCATCGTCGGTTTGATTTTTATGATATTTATGCACATCTAGTTATGTACACCCTACTCTGTTGAAAGTGGGAATTCAACATGAAAATTTATTTTATGACAGATAATCGAATTAATAATTATTAGAAGCGCTACCATAAAATAGGAAGTTTAACTAGGATTCGTTCTAAAACGAATCATATCAAAGAGAGCAGACATTTATTCTTATAATACATGCTGTTTGACCTTTCTATTTGTTATTTCTGAGTGACTATCCTGTATTTCTGTCAGTTTTCATATACAGGATATCTCTTTTAAAATTAATATCTCCGACTGAGTTATTTGGGCCGTACAGGATGTCCTCCAAATATCGCGTTGATCGGCATTCGATTTTAATAACATCCGGTAGAGCGTCGCACAGTGGTAAATTTGACCTAAAAAACTGACCAAAATTATTTATGAATTTTTTTGCTTTCAAACGGTTGTGATTCATTAATTTATGAAGCTATCTAACTATAGAACTAGTTTTTAGGAATAAATGGCATGTGATAGAGATAATAATTAAATAATTATATAACTTTTGATATAAAAATGCATTAAACTCCTAACGACTTATTTTAGTGTAAAAACTGTTATTTTAATTTTAATAAAATTACAGAATACATTCTTTTTAAATAAATAAATATGAGTGAATTCCTTAAATGATAGCTATTGTGAATATAAACTTTTTTATTTACCTATAAGATTTCATGTGAATTTAATTCTAATTGGAAGGTTTCTTTATCATAATTTTCATATGGCTCTCGTTAGTTCCACTCCTCAATCCAAATCTGGATTTTCGAAATTCAGCTATAGTTCTAATATTTCTTTTAAAAAAGACTTTATGTGGTTTCTTGATATAGATCTTATGGAAATCAAGTTAAAAAGTGATGTAAAAAGGAGCCTGTTCAAAATTAACATTATTTCTTGAACTAGATGGACAATATGCAGACCCGAGATATCCACTCAAATTACCGGCATAAACATACAGATCATCTACTTATGTTTGAAATTTATGTATATTTAACGTTGTTGGAGTCATTGGATGCCATGGAAGCTGCAATATATGGTTTTTCTGTGTCCAAGCAAACTTATCAGAGTCAATTTTGTAATCAGATCCATTGTTTTTAAAATAACTTTCAAACGTAAGTAAATAATCTGATCGTTCATACAAATAATTTGTGCGGCAAAAGTATTTGAAAAAATGTTTCTACTCGTTTCTCCATAGTTTTCTAAGGTTGCTTCGAAAAACATAGAAAGGGGTTTAAATTGTTTATATAAGTGTTTAATTTTGTCTTCTATATCTTACTATTCTTTTCGAAATAACGCAAAGAAATCTTTTAAAATGTTTGATGCCACAGTTTCATGTGAGGTGCAAATCTAAGTTCTTCAGTCTCAGTTGATTTCCGCAATTGTCCATGTTCTTTCTTTCGATTCGGTCACTGGAGTATCCAAAAGATTTAGCTGGCCAACCAGCTAATGGATATAGATTAGCTGTTGTGCCTTTGATTAATTAAATAGTTTCGTTCAGTCAGTTATCACATGTTTTTTTTAAACTTCACATCTGAGCAGTTAACTTTAAATTGTACTGTACATAGTGAAAATCCTTGTTTGCACATCAGTACAGATCTCTTGTATCAGCAACATTTTTATTGAAGTTTCTGATTAATATTTAGGCCTTCTTGTTGTTGAGTTATCTCTGTCACATTCCTTAAAACTAGACCACTCTAGACAACTGAAAATTTAAAAAAAATTAAAAAACTTTATCATTTTATTTTTTATTTTAAATTTGTTTGGTTGAAAGTATCAGGTGGCTCCCCACTTAACTTTGTAATCAAGTTTTATTGTAAACTACAAAGTCATAAAAAATAAATAATGTAAGGTAAATATCAGTGATTTTTTTAATGGAATAAAATATCTAAATTAAAAGTACTTTAGGAAAGTAACTGAATATTAAGTTAAAGCTTGTCCGTATTTATTACATTTAATTTTATTCAAGGTTAGCAGCTAGAACTATTAATATTTGAAAAATTAAAAATTATTTAACAGCAATTTGGCAATAGTGATTGTTAAGAACTAAGCAGTCTAGAGTAAATGTTATCAATATGATCTAATTCGTTTCAGTTTATTCGCAGGTCAGAAATAAATGATCTAGTAGAAAGAATAATAAAACAATTTAAGTCACATCACAATGTAATAATTGAAGGAAGTTAGTCGACTGTTCTACATATCATGGGTGATAAATATTCAGGACGCAGTCTTTTTTAAAAATTGGCAAATTGGCAACAAATTAAAACGTTGGCAAAAATTTAAAAAAAAATTTAAAAAAGACTGCGTCCTGAATATTTATCACCCATCATAATGTAATAACATTCTTACCCTGGGATAGGGAGACCCTACAGGGGCACACCCAGCCTCTACAAAGTGGGTTAATTAAAATAATTAATTAAGGAGGAAAACCTGACGGTTGAGCGTGGTTCTGGCCCGATCTACTTCCTTCACATCCTTTGGCCTTGAAACAGTGCTTTCCCTAAATAGTAGTGAACCCAAGACCCTTCACAGGTTGTAGTGGTACAGATTTTTTTTATTACATCATTCTTACATTTTAACTCATGTGTAATTGTAACGGAGCATTTATTTTTCCTTATTCAACGTTTGTAATATATTGAATAAAAAACATATACTGTATAAACTACGTATTATTAAGAAGACAAATAAATTCTTAGAATATTGTAATGCTCAAGATTTAAAATACAAACCCATTATATAAACCATGTCCAAAAATTGTGATGTGCTTTTTACTTCTATAGCTGAGGGAATATTCCATAATTCATGGAAGTTGGTGTATTCGCTTTTAAAGGCTTTAAAATTCATTACTTTTCACGCTTAACGAAGTGTGTTCACTTTCCTATATCATATTTCCTCGAGGCTCTTTTCATAAAGGAAATCCCATACGTCCCTGTCTTGCCCCATTTCATGATATCGTTGTGGGTATATGCTTTATTAACATGACTCATATTGAAAATTACGACGTAAATGGAAAATATAGGAATATAGGATAATTAAATTAATTAATTATTAATTGTTTTTCTTATAAATTAATTAAAATCGTTATTTTGCGATCTGTCTATTGCGAAATTAATAAATTTCACTACAACAAAGCAATTTTAATTGAAGTTTCGTAGTTCCTTGTCTATTTGGTAAATCAAATTGTTATGAGTTTTGAAAAAAATTGATTTACTCCGAAATATTACTTGAAGCGTTATTGTCGATAAAATCTTTGTCTTTAACATTTCGATTGCTATCTTTTACATTGGTCAGTTGCGAAGTGTTCTTATTGTTCATAAAATTTGTTCTATAAAAATGTTAGTAATACATTAAAAATTCGCTATATTAGCGATGTTACCTCTGGATCGAATCCATTATAATTAATATTTATTGGAAGTATTTCTATAACATATCAATTATATCAAATACGTACATCTTTCATCTCCAGAAAATAAAGGAAATGCCAATTTTTCTTTTATATTTTCAACTCAAACAGTTTCTGATGATTTTATTTAAGGATATTCAAATTGAATTGCGAAAAACAATCACTAGATTTTTTCTAAATTGAAGCTAAGTTACAAAAATCGACTTTAGCATCATATGAACGACGTACATCAGTCAAGTTGAGTAAAAGTAATATTTTGTAATTTTATTGTTAAATTTCTCGTATTTATTGTTGAATTTCTTGTTTTTTAATTCGTTTTATATTGGTGCTATATGTGATTGGGTGTATTAAGCAAATTTATAACCACCCACTTTTGCTCGGAATCCTCTTCCCTTTATTGTGGCAGACTGTATTAATACTCAATAAAATCATTTTTTAAAAAAAGAATTGATAGGTACAGTGCCGCATTCAGGATTTAAATTTTGGAGGTACTTGAGTTTTTTACTTTCACTTATCTAAAAATGTAATATATAGTACGGGAAAGTATTGCAATCGTGAACATTTTCGAATCAGAGTTTTTATACGTAAATACACGTTTAGAGGTACCCTGAGTCCAAATAACCAAGTCCAGAACTTCGTTTAAAGTACCTTTGGTTAATTATAAATAATAACTATTTATTATTGTTATAATATATGGAAAAACACTGAATATAACTTTTTAGAATTTGATAATTATATAAAGGAAAAAAAAAAGAAAAATACTTATCCAGGTTGAAAATGAATATCCGGAAATAATAGTCAGAAAGTACACGTATAAGATAAGCGGAGAATTAAAAAAACAAAACAATATATAATATAGAAAGTTGTAGAAGGTAACAGAAAGTGAAGAAAAATATATGAACAATAATTTCTAAAAACTAACATTATTTAACGTAAATCACGTGTTTTCAAAGAAATTAAATTAAATTTTCTTACTTTAGAAGGCGTTGGATGAGGGATCTCTTTCCTTAGACAACCTAAGTAATTGGAGCAAGTTAGGGAAGAGGTACTGCTGAGTACTTTCCTTCCCCATACCCGTCACTTTATTATATCATATACCACCATCACATTTGCTGATTGTCAACAATAAGTTAACAGGCGCAAATATATTTTTGATTAACAAAAAAAAAAAAATTTCTTACTAAATGTAAACTTTTTAGAAAACTAAATTAGTGAATAATTTGATGAATTTCCCCTTTTTCGATATAATAACAGTATCCACTTACAATTAGTGTGACAAATTTTGATATGTCTATGACAGACAATGCAAATCTCTTACATCCGTTTTAGTAAACTTTGCAATGTAAAATAATAGTTTAATAAATAATAGTTGTACAATCCACAATCAACCGGTGGTATAATAAATAGGACTTTTGTTATTTTAGATTTGTTAGCTGTAATATTTTAACTTTGGCTCAGTTAAAAATATAATTCAAAAATTTTATTATAGAGCCCAACATGGCCAAAAAATAATTCCTATTCAAAGTACAGCGGTAAGTGAAAATTGTATGTTGCGGACACCATATATTTTTTATTACAGTAATTACTCTGAAGAAACATGAAAGACGCAAAACATACAAGTAATGTTAAAGTCGCCCTAAAAATCCTGTAAAAAAAAAAATTGTGTTTATTAGAATAAAAATACTTTTAGGAATATGTTTTTTAATATTTTTTTCTTGATACGTACTTACATTTAGTAGCTGAAATAGTAGCGTTAGCATAAACAAATACGGACAAATAAAAGAATTAACTTTTCCACGTAGGCACGAGCCATGGAAAATAATATTCGTCTATGATCTATTTAGAATCAGACGTGTATTGTTGAATTAAATTAATTCGGAATTAATTTAATGTTTGATACCGTCATGAGTACCATTTCAAGGTAATGACTATGGGAATAGTACAAGCCTGTTCCTGGAATGC